GGTTCGTGGGCGTGCTTACGACGTTTTCGCGTCCACATACGGACGCGCTAATAACAGTAACAAAAAAGGAAATTTGAAATAGCATATATATATATCGTCACAAACAGAACTGCCCGGTAAACCGTAGGCATATATATATATATATATGTTCCCAAGCGGTGGTCGGGCAGGGACCACGGCACCTCTCCCAGCCTTCCCGTTAGTCCCACGCTCGGCCCCGCGGCAGCAAAAGGCGAGGGGGATAGTCCCACAGGCCCATCAACCCCTCGAGCCTTTGCGTGACGCTCCTCCGCTCCCTTGCCGCACGTTATTGGCCTCGATCCCTGCGCCTGCTGCATACCGGTCCGATGCTATAACCTATAGGGCTAAGCCCAAGCCTAGTACCAACAGGCCTGAGGCACCTAATAAAGAGGTAGCCCCCGGTCTTCTAGGGCCAAAAAGGAGCCACCCCATGCCAGTCCCTAACCCGTACCCACACACACGGCCTCCAAAAGCCGCGCCGACCTCTCGACCGTGCCGCGGCTACCTTTACCCGGTCGAATACATCAGGTCCCATCATCAGGATTCCGGGTACATCCACACCGGCTCACTGAACCGTCCACCGTACCCCGCGAAACAAGAGAACAACGCGCTCATAGGTTAGTCAGTTTAATAAACCAGAAACGACATACGTCGACCAAAATTCACGCCACGTTTGTTGTTTGCAATCAAAACAAGGAGAAAAATCACGTGCGCCTCGAGCTTGCGTGCCCACGCACCCTCTAATATGGCCAAGTGCTTAGTCACTGTAGCCCTCAGACATCACTGCGGCTCGCGCGACATACTCAACCCTTTAGACTTAGCTTATTTTCTGTCATTTGCAAGAACCAGGGCGGATACCCTTGTAAGGGTATTCGCGCCGACAGCTTACCGGACCATATTAAGCGACGTTCCGGTCGCTTCGCAGGATCAAAAGCTATAAGTTCAGCCACAATCTCAAAAGTGCTGACAAGCAGGGTACCAATCCGATTGACCGACAGACCCAGGGTTGAGGCCTGCAATGATCCATGCCAAACACAACTTTATCCTGCCAGGATTCTAACTTGGGTCTCCGTCGCCCTGACATTCGGACGTCGGGGTACTCCTCACTGTACTACAGCATAAGTTCCATTGGATCCCTCACCGTCCTCTCCCCTGTGCCCTAGACAACCGCCGGCTTCTCGTTGTGTGCCCCCAGCCCTTCCCCTGAAACCAAGGTCGTGACTAGGGGCGCGGGCCCTAACCGAGACCTTTGAAGGCATTCTCTCGCCTTCCTCTCAAAAAAATATTCACTTTAAACACATATAAATATATCGTATAGATCTCCATATAAGCCTCCCTGTAGTCTAGTACAGGAAGGCTAGGTCTCCATCTTCTCCCACCATAGTCTGGGTGATCATTCCAGATCTACGGCCCCACCGCATTGTTATTTCAGCGGTAGTGCCTTCGCGGGTTGCGCCACGATAGGTTGTTCCTGATAAGCATTCAATCAGGACTTCCTCAAAAAGACTCATATGACTCGACTCTTATCCCACGCCTCTCAGCAGGATTAAAACCCTCCTAGGCGTTCACGCCCCTTTAAGTCTTTACTCCCCTGGCCAAACGCAGGCCCTCTGCTCAGGTTGTGCCAAACAACGGCCAACACTAAGGGTTGCGCCTTAGTGATGCTAGTTATACCCCTAGCTGGGTCTCTTATTAATGTCCAAGATCAGCACAAGCGGCCGGACGGTGTGTCGCAACAATACGAGCCTACTGTTGGACTTCGCATAGACATGTCGCACATAAAGGTATTTACTAGTCCCTCTGTGGGGCAACACAGAGGAAGCACGGCAACCTCTCCACAATCACAAAACAAAATCACCGCCTGATTTACAAGGCCGTGGCCTCCCAGCTTGATCAGAGCAAGAAAGTCACACATCTTGATGACATCTCTCAAAATGCACCATTTGCGACATCCAAAAATTCCATCAATAGTCACCCAAAATTTGGTCCCTCTCGTCAGTCTTTTATTACTCAAAGTCGACCTTCCATTTATCAATCTCATTAACCACCCTCATTTATAGAGGAGGTCTCATTTCAATAGGCCTCTCAGTCATCCCCCTCTCTCTAGGATGAACTTTCTCGCGACCTTTTCTTTAACACATTTTCCCTCTCTGAAGGTGCGTCTTCTAAATAGATAATGGACCACCTCTCCATTCACAGATGTCCCATTCATCATATGATCCATATAAAAAGACCAACTTATGGGTCTTCTGCACAGCTCAACGAATAGAACACTCACCATACAAATATTCAGGATCCTCACATCCTCTCACAAAACAGACTGCGCTTCCTTGCCTTATACTCGGCCCTCTCATCTGCCCAAGGGTAGGTCGCACGAGTATACCGGCGAGTAGACAGTTCACATTCATCCAGATTCACAAGGTACTAGATACATCAGGTATTTTCTCGCGCATATTTCACACCAAACCATCATCCATCATGCCACGTCCACACGAGTGAGTGTGAGAGTGATCATCATACACAACAAGCAGCCCCAGAAAAGTCTCAATATAATATACACTCAGGGACAAGATATCCCGTACAAAAATGTCTCCAAACCGTAACTCACTCAGCTCACTCAAATCCATACTCACACGGGCATCCTCCTCAAAGCACAAGTTGGGTCTGTCTCTCGAAGATCAGGGTGTAGGCCACCTAAGTATGTACACGCCTCATCTACCATGTCCTGGCCCTCAAGATGGCAGACTCAACAAAAAACCAATCCGAACTGTCCAACAAATACAACAACCGCCTATAGGTCTAGAGGACGTTATCCAGTCATAATTTTGGTCCTATACACAACATGTCAACCATATAGGTAACCCAGTCCTACTCACTCATCTCCTTCTGGTTTTGCCTATACAGCTGAGCTCTACCCCCATCTGCAGACCTCTCTACTACCCTACCCTGTCTATCATACATCCTGCCTCCCTCCTCTGTAACCTTCCCTTCAGCCTTGTCCTTTAAGAATTTAGGACACTGCAAGGCTCGATGCCCCTCCTTTGTACAGAAGAAGCAGGACGTATCAAACCACTTCCTGGATCTCTTCTTTCCTCTCTGAGACCCTGGCGACGATGGTGCTTCGCTGGCCTCCATGCTCAGCTCATGGCTCTGAGGCATATCCAAAGGCTCCTCTCCTGTCTCCACCTCCTGGGTACTCGGCCCTGGTCGATCCTCAATCCCCTCTGGCCCGTACTCAGGTGTGCCCAATCTCTGGGGGCCGCCCTCGATGACACCCTCTGTCTCAATCCCCATCTCTCTCTCAAGAGGCTCCTCTATCCTCTGCTCAGGCGAAAACAAACTCGCCTCCTCCTGCATAGTATGCACTGCCTCAAGGAGCATGTTCATGGATCCCTCTGCTGAGCCTTGAGCTGGCTCACTGCTAGGCGGTGGTACTCCCTCCTCAACTGCCAAAGGTATGACTGGGTCCGCCGCTGCTATAGGTAGCGTCGCGAGCTCAGTAGGGGCTCTGAACTCGAAAGCCTCTCTCTCTGCCTCCCTCCGGGCTCTCGCCTCCTCTGGCCCGAGGATAACTCTCCCCATAGGCGACTCCTGGCGAGGCTCTACTGCAGATGGTTGTCCTGGCAAACCATGTCATGTCCGCCTCTGCTCTCCCTGCCGGCTGCTCTCTGGTTTGTCCACCTTTCCCTAAGATTGCTGCCTCAGACTCTTGATGATAGCCGCCTGACTGGCCACCAATGCCCTGAGTTCCTGGATTTCCACCTCCATAGCCTCCAGGCGTACTCCATAGCCTTCTTCCTTTGTCTTCTTCCCCGCCAGATCGCTTTCCAATAGTCTTGGCCAGGAACTTGATTTTGCGATCCAATCTTTCTTCCGCCTTTTTTGCTATCCCAAACCCGGCTCTGATCGGCGAGGGAAGCTCCTCTCCTCTCTGCTCCCAGAAGTCCCTCCACATCTCTGGGATTTCCGGGGCCTTAGCTGGCTCGCTGGGTGGCTGACCCGGGAGCGCCCCTGCTGCCTCCAATCTCTGCCTTTCCTGCTGCTGCTCCGGAAGTGCCCCCGCCGCTTCCAACCTCTGCCTCTCCTGCCATATCTCTTCTATCCTCCTGCTTCTTCTCGCCCTCTTTTCTTCAGTTGTTTCTCCAGCTGGCGCCCTCTCCCTCGTGCGGAGGTCGACCCTCTTCGGGATCTCTGCCTCTACCTCCTTCTCGGGCTGGCACGGCTCCTGGTGCGGCTCTGCAGGTGTTGGCTCTTCCAGGTCTGGGTGCTCCAGGGCATGAGCTGCTAGGTGTCTGTCAATCATGACCAAGGCTTCTCTCCTTACAGCTGCAGCCTCTCTTTTCCTTTCTGCTCTTCTCTCCGGCGAAGGAGCCTTTTCTGATGGAGGCAATGGGGCCTCCTCTCTCTGCAACCTCTCTCCTGCCTGGCGAGTGCTCCCTGGTGCATCCCCGAGTCTCAAACCCACCCCTGGCGTCTGAGGGGGCGTGTCCTCTCCAACCTCTATCACTTCCTTCCCTGCACGTCTCCCCTCATCGCCCAACCCTTTCTCTCGTTGAGCATCTCGGACCTCCTCTCGTGGCATTCCCTCTCATGGTACCTCCTCATGTGGCACCTCCTCTCGTGGCACCCCCTCTGCCTGTCCTCCACGCTCCTCACCTCGAGGCGACGTTTCCCATCGGGAGACATCCAGATGCGCCTCCAACTCTCTCAACGGCCCCTCAGATGCCGGCGCCTCCTCCTGCGTGCGTACTGGAGGCCTCCTCAACCCACCCTCGGTAAAACGATGGAACTCCACTGGTCCCAGTCCACACTCAGGATACGCCCCTCGCTCCTCATCCTCAGGCTCCGGCTCCTCCTCTCTCCTGGTTAGGGCCTTCCGTCCCCCTCGAGACGGCCTCGCCTCACTGGGCTCAGGGTCCCTCTGTCTCCTGCTGCTCTGGCGCCTCTCAACTCGGGGCTGAGGCGACTGTGGCCGTCGAAAGGCCTCCCTCAGGTGTGCCCTGCAGCTCTCCCAATCCCAGGCAATATCAATGATCTGCCTAGCCAGTGGCCTCTCCGCCTTTCTGGTCCAGAGGGGTAATGTCCTCGCCCAGTCATCTCTCGGTGTACCCTGCCCCTGCATGAACCACTCGAAAGCGGGGATAAAGTCTGCCTCATTTCCGATCTCTAGACGGATCGGCCTGCCATCAGGTCCCACAGGCGAGGGTTGTAGCTCCTGCATCCTCATCTCCACCTCTGGCCTCGTCGTCGCCTCCTTACGGATCCGGGTAATGGGCTCCTCGAACCTACCGACTCCCCTCAATCTCTCAATCGCCTGGGCCACGGTCGAGCCCATACGCCTCGCATGCTCCCAGAGACTGTCAAGGAATAGCTCAATGTCACCATCATCGTACACCGGAGTACTCTCTCGATGGCGAGGCCCATGCCGCTCATACGGAGTCATACCCTCCTGATGCCCCCAACGGCCTCTGAGGCGGCCGTGTCCCCTTCCCTCCTCTTGGCATGGCTGTCTTCGTAAAGTCAGACCTGCACAACAGGCGAAGGAGACAACAGACACACATTGGGGTAAGCAAACAGGTGATAATCAAAGCAAGCTCAGGCCAGACCACACTCATGCAGCATACATCCTATCTGACCTACACAACCTATCGCTTCTATTCTGAAGGCAGTCAGATCATCTCTCTTACCTCTTCTCTCGCCACAAATTTCTTCAATCGCGTTCCAGATACCCAATCCTTCCACTCAGTCTCATTCAGCTCCTCAATCTGGTACGCTCCGAAGTATCCAACCCGTATGAACCGGTAGAGACCTAACCACCTCTTATCGAGTTTCCTGGACCACTGCTTCTCCAAAGATGAATCGTAGAGGAGTACGACGTCCCCGACTGACAAGGGTACTTTCCTCACCCGTGCAGACTGATCCCATCGAGCCTTATCATCCATACGGCTTCTCGCCACTTGATCGAACGCCTCCTGGATCCTTTCCTCTATCGCCCCCGCCTGCCACGCCCGAATATCGAGCAATTCTTTAAACGACAGGCTAACTTCCAGATCCTGGCGCCTCCATGTCTTAAGAAAGCTCTCTATAGGGAAGGTGGCGTGCCTTCCATACCACAGCGTGGCCGGCGCATACTTTATGTATCTTTTCACTGTAATGTTTTCGACAAAGAATGCAGCCCTCAGGTACCTTGGCCATTGATTAGGCCTGCCTTCGGTCCACTTGGCCAGGAGGTTCGTAATGGTACTATGCCCTCTCTACACTGGAGCATTTGCCTGGGGGTGTGCGACCGTGGTGTAGTTAGCTACTACACCATACTTTGATAGCAGTTCTTGCACCTCCTGGCAGGTAAACTCAGATCCCCTGTCCATTACGAACTCCCTGGCAAAAGGATAACGCAGGTAGTACTCCTCGATGCAGCTAACCAAGACTGAACCAGTCTTGGTACGAATGGCACGCCCATCTACGAAGCCAGATAGGTTATCGCGCGCATCGAAGATGTAGTTATAGCCCTGATCCCCAAGCGGCATAAAAAGTAGGTCGAGATGCACTACAGCCCCCACCTCTCGCTCTAGCCTTGGATGCAACGACTCTCCTTGCCTCAAACGAGATCTCTCTTGGCAGGGTACGCAAGATCGGCAGAACTTCCCGATCATGTCCATCATACCATCCCAGTAGTACAACTCACTTATTTTGGCATACGTGGCTTGTACCCCTCGATGCCCTCCTGCAATGCCGTCATGAAGGGCTGTTATGACGTCAGTCTGTCGATTCCTACCACAGACGACTCTCGTGGGATTCCCCACTTATCTCCTTACGAAAAGGTGGCCGTCTCGCACTAAATAGCACCGCATCATCCTCTGTGCCCTATCGCTCGCATCCCTTAGCCGCATCTCGCAAGACAGAAGGAGTCCCAGCTCTAGGTAGATCCCGTCATACTCCTCTGCACGAAAGGCCTCCTTAATCTCCCCTTCCTCGAACTCGTCGTCCTGGCTCTCGGACACTTCGTCAACATTCTCTGTCGGGTTTAACGAGCCTGATTGGTCGAGGCTTTCCTGCAATAACGTGTTGACGAGGAGATACATTCCTCCCATCAGGTCCTCATGCCGTTCTACCTGGCCTAGTCCTTCCTCGATCGTCCTCATATCCTCCACCAGACTATGCGAACTRGCCAGCGCCAACTCCATCATTCACTGAACACCCTTACCACCCCAGGGATCCTCTTCTTCAAAGGGTTTGAGGACTATCTCGGCCCTCCGTTCATACCCATTTGGCGCTTGCCAGATAGGATAGCCTACACAGCTGGGTACTCGTGGCGACCACTTGTTGATATGGAGACGAACATCTTCCTCCTGATCCAGAAATCCATCAACTGGGGGCGTATTCTCCACCGCCTCCCCCTCCTGTTTATCCCAGTTGATCCGACTCAGCCCGTCGGCCCGGTTCTTACTGCCAGGAATCCGTTCCAACTCGAAATTAAACATCTAGATGTACGTCAGCCACCTGACAACCGTCGGATCCGATGGAACGTAATTCCTTAGAGAGTAGGCCAGGGCGGTCGGATCCACCCTCAAAATAAACCTCCTGCCTAAGATATAGTTCCGGAAGATCCGCAGACAGTGGAGGACGGCAAGGGTCTCCCCTTTGAACAGAGAGTAGTTCCTCTCGGTCGTACAGAGAGTCCGACTCTCAAATCGCAAGGGCCATTCCTTTCCTTCCATGTCTTCCTCAATTAGAACTCCCCCTAAGGCAGTCGGCCCCGCATCCGTTTCGACTATGAAGGGTCGCGTCTCCGTGGCATCATAATCTGGCGCTCCCAATACCAACCCTCCTTCTCGAAATTCTTCCTTCATTCTGGCCACCACCTCTTCTTGCTCTTTACCCCAAACCCATTCCTGATCCTGACGGACTAACTTCCTCAGATGCTCAGTCTTAGCGGCAAAGTTCTTGACGAAGGCCCTCCAAAATCCACACGACCAAGGAAGCTCCTGACATTAGTTATTGAGTGGAACGGAACTGTCCACTCAGTAATCTTGTCCGTCTTTTTCACATCCGGCCTTCGGCCCTTCTCGCTACAGACGAACCCCAAGATAGTCGCTTCTCTCATGCAGTGTCTGGATTTGGCCCCGCTCGCCGTGAGGTTATGCTCCTCGAGCAGGCTGAGAACCTTTTCGAGGTCCTGGATGTGCTTCCAAACAAAGCGCCTTACCCCTGGCAAGACTTTGTCGCTCTCCTTTACTGTCGGCCCCTTCACTGCCAAATCGTCGATGTATGGCTGTGTGATATGGGGGCTGACTGACTGCATAGCCCGAATCATGGCCCGTTGGACCATTGCTACCGAGTTGGTCCACCCTTGTGGGGCCACGTTCATGTGGATTAGTCCTCGCAGCGTGTGCATAGCCGTCGCTGGCCTGTCCGGCGGATAGCCTGGAAACTGATCATATCCTGAGTAAAGGTCTATAAGTGAGATTATAGGCCTTCCAGCACAGGATTCTGACAAAGCGCTCGCATTTGGCAGTCCTCCAACATCCCGCACGGTCACCGCATTTAGCCTCTGCAAATCTTGCACCCATCGCAGCGTCCCGTTAGGCTTAATGAAGCAGAACCACGGGGACGCATACGGTCCACTCGAATAGTCGGCGACGTGCGTACGTATCTTGTCGTCGAGGTAATCCACCACCTTCTTTTCCTCGTCGGGATTAGGATATCGCGCCCCTCTCATGTTCCAAGGTTCGTGTGGCACGGTGTGGATGCGGATCATAGGTATCTTGTCCACATTCAGCCTGCCACGCTCCTCGTCACTAAATGCATAGGCGTGATGCCTCCTCTTCATCAATTCCACCATCAACGTTCGCTCCTGAGGCAACAGGAAGTCGGGTTCCCCTATAATCAACTTCCCCTCATTCCCTTCGTTGATACGGCATGGCCCTGCCAGAGCACTCTCCCTCGTCCGCCGTATCAGCCCTCGCTCTCGCTCGTAATACGCCTCTTCGTCCTCCGTAACGAGGACCGGGACCGGGCGGCACTTCTTATCTATCGTTTTGTACCACCTTTGGCAACCCTGCTTGAGCCGCCCCCTAAAAAAGGCCGACTCACAGATTGCGCCTGCGCTGATGCGGGGTTTCTCCTGTCGTTCAGAAGACGATATACCAGCTCCAACCTCCCCGCCTCGGGGCATTCCAAGACATGCTCCCTCAAGGCCTGGATGGCATCCGGATCAGCCATCTTATGCGCGGCCACCAAGTCCATGGCCTTCCCGACGTCCGATAGGCTGAGGGAAAATGCCTCCACCTTCTCCTCTCCTTCTGGCTCCGCCCGGAGCCTCTGGCGCTCACCTTCCGACTCTTCGATCGTGAAGGATCCTGGGTTGGGCCGGTTCCTTATACTCCTCGGTCCTGTATATCTGCAGGTAATTATCTCGTAATTCCCGCAGGCAGGGTAACATAGGAGGAGGATTAGAGTCCCGTCATGCTTGTTGAACATCACGGTCTCTGTCCTACTAAAAAATTACCTTCCTAGGAGGATCCCGTGGTCCACGTCCGGCATGATGAAGAAGCAAGCTCGGGCCTTCACCTTTCCAACCTCGATGAGTACATTCGAGGCTGTCCCACAAAACACGGCCTTGCAGCTGGCTCCATGTAGAATTCCGCAATCAGATTGGTCTATATCCAACCCGAATCGGATAGCATCCGCCTCCCGGATGATGTTCATTTCAGCCCCGGTGTCCACCATTGCCGCACACTTGGAGCCCTTTACCACCAAGTCCACTGTGCCACAGGCCACGCATTTCCAGTCCATCTTCGCGCCCGATTCCGCCCACTCGGCCTCTTTGGGCAGGATCGTACCTAGATGGACATTGGGCACCAGGCACTGCGACAACCTCCCCTTCAATTCATCGCGGAGCCTTGGGGCTGATGCCAAGATTTCTTTCAGGGTCATAAGGTCATTATGCCCTTCTAACAGCCTGTCAATTACTATTTCCACATAAAACCCCTCTTCCAACCGAACCGCGTACTTCTTTTTCTTAGGCGGTCTATCACGCATGACCGACTCGGCCTCTTCCCTGGTTCCCTTTCTCCTTGCCCGCTGCTCCTCTCTCTGATCCTCTTCCCGGCGCAGCCTCTCGTCTTCTTCCTCCTCATCATCGTCATCCTCCACTTCCACGGCCTCTTTCCTTTTTCCTGGTTTTGGCTCCCTCCTCGGAGGTTCTTGGCTGGCACTGGCCTTGGCTTGACTCCTCGTCCGTGCTGCCTGCGCCAGCCGGGCCTGCGGGGTGAGGGGTCTCCCCATCACTCCCAATTGTGGGCCCGACCCCACCACATTTACTCCGGGTCGCCTAGGCGCTGACTCTGGGCCAAAGTCGTACAGGAACACCTTGGGGATGCTAGACTTCCATTCCCTCACTTCCTCACAGAGGCCCACCAACTTCTGTTGGTACCTTCCCACCTTGTCCAGCAAGTCCTTCATTTTCCTCAATAAGACGGACGGAGGTTCCACCCTTCTTTCCTCGTCCTCGTCGTCCGATTCGACAATTATGGGCTCTTCCCTCTTACTTCCTCCTCGTGGCCCTTGAGTCACTTCCTCATCGCTCCCCACTTCCTCTACCCCAATTGGTGGTTCTTCCTTTTCCTGCCATAACCTGAATTCCTCTATCCCCATCGATGGTCCTTTCTTCTCCTGCCACAGCCTGAACGTGGCAGGAGGTGGGGGCCCGGCTGCCGCCCTTCGTTGGGTTTCCGCTCTCACTCCCTCGAGCCTTCTGTCAATGAATTCCCCAAACTGGTCATAAATGTTCCCGTCCATAGTGGAGGAAATCAGCCCGCTTTTCTCGTCCTCCCGCCTTATGTTACAGAACCTTATAGTGTGGCCTTAGAGGTCGCAATGTTGGCAGATGGCTGACCTCCAATCAAAACGGGGCCTCCCATACCCCTGACTCCCTTGATCCCCCTGGCCTTGGTACCCCTGACCTTGACCATTCCATTGTCCTCCTCGTCCGCCGCCATTCTTGCCTCGCCTCCTTCCTCCACCCCTTCCTCCGTTGCCTTGATTGCCCTGCCCCTGGTTCCCACCTCCAGCCACGCTTCCCTGTGAACTTGGAGCAGGCGACGGCGGCGGGGCCATAGGCTGGGCCTGGGCTGCGGGGTAGATGGGTGGCAGCATGCTCAATGGAGGCTCGGCTACTGGCGGCGGGCTACCTCATGGCACAATTGCATTGATCACCGGCCAGGGCCACTGTCCATAGGAAGGTGCCCCTCCTTGTGAGGGGCCCGCACTGGATGATGGTGCCGCCACACTTGGAGGAGTCGCCGCCACGGCCTGGGGCGTCTGCCCTTTTCCTGACCCCTGCCCACCCTGTGCCAAGTTACGCAGTTTGCGCTGGGCCTTCGTCAGGTGCTGCGGCACCGGCTCTTCCTCTTCCCAGAGCTCCTCCTGAACGACCTCCTCTATCACCGGCTCCTTTCCTTTCACCTGGACGGTCGTCACTACCCTTCTCTGCACCACCTGCTCCGTCCCGTACCCCAGCTGTGCCAGTACGTCCGTAACAATCCTTTTTACTCCCGGGGTCCCAGAAGCGGTCGCATCTCTTTCCTTTCTCTTCTGCCTTTGCAGGCGTACTTGACGCTGCTCCACCTAGTCCACGCACCCGACTTCCACCTCTTTGTCAACGGTGGCCCAGGTGAGTTTGGTGCTGCCCCCTCCGTGTCTTGTCAGCTCGACGGCCTCCGATGCCGTAAGTAGCCACAGGAAGATGGCGCACTGCGCCTCCTCCGAAATCCCATGGACCTTTCATGCCCTCTTCTTGAATTCTTGAACAAAGGCCCCTATTGTCGTAAAGTCCTCTATGTTCATTGCCTCAAGGTCCGTAGTGGTCAACAACCTGTCTCCCAGGCGGTACTTCCTTTGCATTCCTTCCTTGAACCTTTCCTAGCTACCTTGGGCCGCATCTATGACTTTCTTCACTTCTTGGTGGTAGTTGTGGAGGACATACTGGAGAATGCGTTGAAACTTTACAACATCCGACCGTCCGACCAAAGCCTGTTCCACCCACTCCAACCATTCTGAAACTCTCTCTCCACAAAAATGGAAAGTATCGACCTTAGGGATATTACTTGGGTTCTTTTCATGTCGGTCGATGGCCGCGATGAGGTCCTCGAGCGTCAGGGGCTTCCTGGCGCCACCTGACGCGCCGCCTGTCTTAGGCATCTTGACAGCCTCTTCTTTTCAAGCTCCCTGACAAGCAAAAACAAGCACATCCCCTTATTCAGCATTATACCTTGACTGGTCTATTCCACCCGCTCTACCTAACTCTTTTTATCCAACACTAACACGGTCGTCTCTCATAATTCTCCTAGCTCAGGTAGGTAAACTTCCTCACCTATACTTAATCACTCATTATTTTTCCTTACCTTCTCGTCATTCCTTTATGCCTTTTTCCATTCACTTCTCATACCCGGATGTCGTTCCACCAGGGACAACGGTAGGCTTTCCGTTATCCCCGACAACGGCGCCACCTGTCGAGCGTATCGGTCCAGCACCGCACCAGGGCAGCGCGGGACCCTCCCGGCCGCATCACGCAGGAGTTGCTTTAAATCCTTCCTCGCAATTTGTACATGTGGAGTTTCCGCAAGCCGCTCCGGCCGAGTGCGCCAGCCATACCTCTCACGAGCCCCTACGACAGGATAGGGCCTACGCGAGGCACGACTTACCTACACCTTACGGGAGCTGTCACCTCCCTTCGGTGGGTGTATCCCCGTCGAGCTACCAGTCCACATTACGAAAGCTAATCAGTTGCAATCGCAGAGGTGGACCAGTCGAGGGCGTTTCTCGTTCGCTGTAGCATAGGGGGTACGCGCGGTAATACGTCTCTATCGAACCCACACGCGAACCGGCATCATGGGGGGCTGAAGTCCCAAGCGCGGCTCGTCGTCGATCGACTAGGACGTATCCCACACACCATGCGCACACCACTTCACGTTCACAAAAATAAAAACATGCACACTCTCATATACGAAACGACACAACACAAACAACGCGACAACGCTCCTAGCCCCACGGTAGCCAACCCATAACTTTCCAATGTGGAAATCAAATAGGCGTCGCGCGCGAGACTTAGTATAAAACCGCGCGGACGCAGGGCTAACTCATATCGACTCGCAATGCAAGCGTACGCAAGCGNGGAAATCAAATAGGCGTCGCGCGCGAGACTTAGTATAAAACCGCGCGGACGCAGGGCTAACTCATATCGACTCGCAATGCAAGCGTACGCAAGCGGTTGCAATGATGGCGTATTATGTAGTACCCATACTTACGCGGTCCTCGTTAATCTCGAGGGTCGCATTCGACACTCAAGTGTCGGTTGACACGCGCCTTAAGGGTTAGTCTCTCGACGCTGGACAACCGCCAAACGCGGTTGCAGACCACACACCCTCTTCTGCACCTTATGCAGAGCGGGTGGTATACAGGTTCACACCTGTGGTGGTAGTCGCATCTCGCGGCCTTAGGGGTAAGTCCTCCCCGGCCCTGGGCGAAAGTCAAGGGGTTTGACTTTGATGGCTGTCACAGACTACAACGTCCAATCATAAAAATCTTTAAAAAGCAAGGGGTAAGGAATAAGCCGACGGTTCCCCCGCCTAACAAATAAAACCATAGCCCTAGGGTACCCTCCTCTTTTCGCGCGGTGCCGGCGACCTATAGTAATCCCAAACATTCGTCCATATGAGTCGGTCCCTTTTGATCCCATAACTTTTAAGCACTAGGGCGACGAAACGTCGCGCGCGGGATTCTAATTTAAAGCCGCGCAGCTGCGGGTCAATCTCGTACCAACCAACAATGCCAACCCTACGTGGTAGTCGCGACTCTGGCCTCGCGATATTGAATGGCTGAAGGAATATATCGTGAGGGGTTACCCCACACGATATTGAACGACTGAAGGACATGTCATTCGGCCCTTGCGACATTTCCGCCTTCGGGGTGGGGTGTCTCGATGGGCAAAGCAAATAGGCTCTGTGCGAGGGGGGATCCCTCCCCTGCAGAGCCTAGGGCTTGGGATGTCCTAGATAAGGACCTTGAATCCCGGCCCAGGACCAACGTCCGCCGAAGAAAATCCTCAAGAAGCAAAGCAAAATAAAAGGAAGGGTCTTTCCTGGACCTCTCAGTCTTAACCTCTGAGTGTGCTCTTTGTACGGGGCCCCTTAACCCATGCAAACATTCACCCCAGGTACACCCATATATACATATATAAAAAGGGGAAGTTTGTGACGATCACTTCTCACAGTCTGTTGGGGCCCCTCACAGCCATACGTATATATGTGATCGCAGGCAACCCAATCCAGAATCTGATTCATAGCACATACCTGCAAATCACATCAACACGTCAATCAACAACCCACGCGCTACAAGGAGTCAACCCCAACCATCTTCAACACTCATACCCCTTGCTTTAGCCATGCAAGCCCCAACCTCCTGTCCAACCAACCTTAATTAAATACTCAGTACCTTTGTTAAATAGCCATTCAATAAAAGTCCGGGTGAAACCTTAATGAAACAAAAAAATCACCAGGGCTAAAGCCTTTTAGGTTGAGTGTGGAGGGTGAGTTGGAATTGAGTCGTAGACCGACGAATCGGCAACCGACCTGTTATCAGTGATAACAGATGATGATTCCCAAGGGATCAAGCTGAATCTAGTCCGGATCTTGAATCAAACGATCAAGAGGGGCTGTAACACATGACAGGTCAATGCCCCAGGCTGACCTTATAAGTTCATGGAGGACAATCTCCATATCGCGACCTTACCCAGTCATCCTACTTAACTATGTCTAAGCTTACATCTAAGCAAGATGGTAAAATCTTCCTTTAGTCAGGGTGGACTTATCAAAACCTTCACCTTTCAAAACATAATCGATCTCTTTTGAACTAAGAAAATTTCAGCAGCGCTTCCCGTAGGAAAAGTGTCTTTCCAGAATTTATATAAGTCCAGATTTGAAAGCAGAAATAATTCCTAACTCCGGAAAGTCAAATTTTGTCTAACTCCCTCAAATAGTAGAAATTTGGGCAGCACTCCCTTTAGAAAGGGAGACTTCCCAGATTTATACTAAGCCATATATGAACTCGAAAGACAGCTCGAGTTCAACTTTAGACAGAATTTAACTAACTCCTTAATTCTGTAGAAATTTCGGCAACACTCCCTCTGGAAAAGTGTCATTCCAAAATTTATACAAGGCTAAGTCTAGAATTTGAAAGTAACTTTGACTTCCCACAGTTCAATTTTGTTTAACTCCCTGAATTAGCAAAAATTTTGGCAGCACTCTCTTTAGAAAAGGAGACTTCCCATATTTTAACTAAGTCAGATATAAGAAAGACAAAGTTGAACTTTTGACAAGTCAAAATTCAACTAACTCCTTGGATTTGTAAAAATTTCGGCAGCGCTTCCCGTAGAGAAAGTAGCTTGCCAAGATTTATACAAAGCCAAGTGTAGGAAAGATCTCAGAAAATGCAAGAATTGACCTAAGTAAAAAAAAGTTATTACAAAAAATGCAGGAATTGACACTAACTCCTATGGCTCTAGCACCTGGCGAGCAACTAAAGCAACTACCTATCAACCTGAAACTCAGACTAAGTAGTGGTCTCACTCAGTCACATGCAAGTCATACCACAAAGGTAAATACTCTCACCAACCCCAAGTCAGCCCGAACAAACAATAGTTCATGATCTCTCAATGATTCAACCCTTTATTCCCAGCTTACATAAGGCATAGGTCAGGCCGCCTGAACTTACAGAGCGCACCCATCTTAGCCAGGCCTAAAGTTAGAATACCTAAACTTATGGAGTATTCTGACTTGGCCAAATATACACGAACAGAGGGCACAACTACTTTTCTCTTCTTTGGGCACATGACTAGACCACTCTAGTCGCCCTGAACTGTTTAAAGTATCCAAGTTATATATACTTGTCTTCACCTTTGTCTTCTAAGGCTGCATATGACCGAACTAACTTAAGTTCAGTCTGCCCCAGTTTACCACCAGTTTTATTCTTAGTTATACTCTCTTCAAGTTGTGATACGGCCATAGTCAGACGACCTAAACTTATAGAACAGTCTGATTAGCTCGTTCTCAGATAAAATAGTAGTAAAGTATAGCCAAGTTATAATCATTGGGTTCCAGCATGTGCGAGGCTTTGAGCCAGACCCCCTGAACTTACAGAAGGGTCTAACTCTCTGCCAATTTCATTTCTCTCTGAATCGTCATGTGTGTGGCATCGAGTCAGACCCCCTGAACTTACAGAAGGATCTGCCCCTTTGCCAAGGTTATTTCTTCATAATAAAGAGCAGGAACAGACTGAGTCACCTGAACTTACAGAACAGAACGGCCTCCTCGTTCAGAAACAAAAGAAACTTAGGAAAACCCAAGAAAAACAAGGCAACTCAGGGCACCAGAACTTATTGAGCGCCCAGAGTCCCTAAAAATCAGACACAGTCAGACCCTTCACAAGCCAGAGCAGTCAGGCCACCTGAACTTACCGAACAGCCTGACCCTCCATGCAAGCCATAGCACTGGGTCTCCCCAAACTTATGGGGACATCCCARCCTCCAGAGCAATCAGACYCCCTAAACTTATARAAGGGTCTGACGCTCCATGCAAGCCAAAATAAACAAAGCACCKGGTCTCYYCAAACTTATGGGGAMCTCCCAGCCTTAATGACCTAGCCAACCTACCAAGCAAAACAACCCACCATCCTGCCTTTCCCCCAGATGCAGTTCTTTTCAACAGTCTGAATTCACACAGTCAATAAAGTTAAAACTGAAACTTGAACAGACATTCCTTTGCTTAGTCTTGTTCAGTGTCTTGAAAGTCACACCAAAAATAGAGTAGGGTTGCACATCATATATTCAATCAGCGATGTAATGGGTAGTACAGATAGGGGTTATAACTGGGTTTATAGAGGGAAAGCAATGGTTTCCCTACCAGTTCCCTGCCTCCTAAACTCGTCCTGAGTTCCGGCAGAGCTCCCGCAATCGGTGGGATGACTCCCCACAGAGTCTTGCTGCGGTCCTACGGGTTGCAATCCCGCCTGCCGCCTTCCCCTCAGATCAGGACCAGACTTAGAGTAAGAAGGATAAAAGAAGAAGGTTTGAGACTCTCAGATACAAGAGGGATGCTCTCAAGCTCACTGGAGGGGGCCTTGTAATCTTCTACGCCTAAGGGCCCCGCAATGGCGGCCAACTGACAGCTTGGCCGGAGAAGTCAAACTGTCGAAGTAACCCCTCCTGTCGAACCTCCTAAGCTACAGCACTAGCCCCTTCTCGACCCAACCGCGGCTGGTAAGAGTCCCTTAGTAGCCTGCTGCAATATGCTTCCGCCCGTAACAGCAGCCCGTACGCGACAGCAGCACTCGGTGGTGGTCAACAACAGTGGTGGCAATACTTGTTCAGTCCGCAGCAGCCACCTGTGCGCAGCAGCGGCAAACAACGGTCAACAGCGCATGGCATGTAACAGCAGACCGCGCGTCGTACCCAACGGCATATCTGTGCCCAGTCCGCAGCTTATGTGCAGTTAACAGCAACTGAAGCGGTAGCTTGCCCTAAGTCTATAGCAGTTGTTGTTGGCAGCAACAGTCCATGCCTGAATGCGGCAGATAGTAGTAGCTGCGGCCAGTTGCAGCAGTAGTTCACACCCGGCCCGGTGCCTGCGACCTCCCGTATGCTGTAGCAAGTCGTTGTGGCACACAACACCACCCGCGGTGCCCTCAGCAACAGCAGCAGCTTGATCCCCGCCAGCTCCTCACTCACACCGAAAGGACAATCCTTAAAGGCTAACACACTACCCAGCAGCGGGCGACAGTGATAGTAATGGTCCGAGTGCAGTCTGCAGTAGCCGCAAGCAGCCGCTGTGCAGTCCTCGGCAACCGCAAACGTCGCTCGTAGCAGCGGTCCGTGCCGTCAGCAACGACTGTTGCGGTATGCAGTAGCACGCAGCAATCACCAAGAGTAGCCGCGCCCACACAGTTTACAAGCGTAGCGGCTATACACACCAGCAGCCCACACCCTGCACTGCCCTCAGTAGACACCCATACACCATGGTGTAGATCCACAGTAATCAGCAACACCACTCTGGTATCGGTCACGAAGATCATTATTATGACCAGGTACGCGCCTTTTCTCCCTCACCGTAGTTTCCTCCACCCGTATGTACTTGGCCCTGACCGATGCCAGAGTCGATCCCCGTGACACTAATCGCCGAGGGTGAGGGCCACGGTCACGACGCAGACCCGACTGTCCACCTCGACTGCCCTGAGTCGCTGCAGCTCTTTCGTTTTCTTTCGACCCCTTCGCTCTTTTCCTTATTGAGCGCACCTGGCCCAACCTCCAGTCTAGGTTCACTCACCTTTTTAACTCCAAGTCTACTACCCTTCTCCTAGATCTATCTCCACCATTCACCTCGCAGCCCTCCAAAACCCTTATCATTACCTTACTTCGTTCGATTCTAGAATCGAACGGCCTATGAACTTCAACCTCCATCATAGCCGCACTCCCGACCCTTCACCGCGCAGCCAGTTTCTTTCCTACCTTACCCCCCACCAATCCTTTGCCAAAACTAACCCCGTAATTCAATTTGCCGCCCTCTGACGCTCCCGAACCTCTTCTCCGCTCGTTAGACTTCATGGGGAATCACGTGCACGGTCCCCTCTCTGTCGCGCCTCACTTACCTCGGTGTTCCACCATAGCTTCTCGCAACCCAATTTCTTCTTCACTCCTATCCCTCTACTCTAACAGCAAAACTAACATCAGTACCGCATTCGCCCGACCCAAAAATGTGAGGACTGACTCTCTCCTTACCCGATTCCATTAAGAATCGGGCGGGTCCATTCTCTCCCCCTTCGCTTCGTCCGCCCACTCTCTGAACGCACCTAGCGCTGCTTTCCGCCCGAGTACATTCGTCCGCTGTACTACCTTAGCGCTCGCTGCTCCCTTCACACCCGCTTCCCTCTGCGCTATAGTTGTGCGCCACCCCATTCACCTCACTCGTACTCGGCGCACCTATATGTCCAGGTCCGCTCTACGCCTCACCTCGTACGTAGCGCAGGGCCCGCCTCTCACTATCTCGCTCCGCGCAACACCCCGACCAACAGAGTCAAAAGAAAACCCGGTGCGCCCGACTCTCCTCCGCTTTATGCCTTGCGTTCGTGCGCAGGGGTCACACCTCCCTTCTCCGTATCGCCCCGATTCTAACAAGTGTCCCGAGGGACTTCTCCTAACGGCTGGCGCCTCACGGCACCGCCAAAAGGCAGTTGACCCCCTTTTCTTATTCCAGTCCGACAGTACCAGGCGGTAACCCCGCCCAGGTTCACTTCCCCTCCACTACGTGCCTTCGGCTCCCCCTGCCCAGTCACCCCGTCGCCGGTGTGCAGAGACCACTCTAATCTCCTCTGTATCGCTCCAATTTTAACAAATGTCCCGAAGGACTTACCCCCGACGGTGCCCTGTGTAGCTGTCGAAGGGGACGCGTCGCCCTCTCTTCCCAAGGCACCGGGCCCTACTTTGCGCCCAGATTCGATCCTCCCTGACAACCTTACTTCTGCCGCGCGAAACAGCTTGGCCCGCAGCCCCGTGATGGAGGCGGTAGTATCCCTCTACATACGAGCCAATGACCTTTCCCCTCATCCTCCCCGTGTCGAAAGCAAACGCGGTTAGCGCAT